GATTAGAAAGTTTAGAAATTAAATTTAATAAAAAAAATATATTAATTTTTAATAACTTTGTATTACCACAATTATTTTTCAACTAAAGCTCTTTAGATTATTATTTTTTAATATATAAATTTGACATCTACCAGTAAATTGGTAACACGTATATATATATATTATTGGATACGTTGGACAATTGACTCGAGAGGGATGAGAATGCACTAAAATAATGGACTCCAAATCTTAATCAGAGTTTTAAATTTTGTATTTATATATCCAGAAAATAAAATCAAACAGTCTATTGAAGTAAAAAGGCAATGAAAAATTAGTTTTTTTTAATAAACAAAGAAATAATTTATGTTAACACCCCCTCTCTCTCTCTCTCTCTCTCTATATATATATATATATATATATATATATATCTTGTATAGTATTTAGCTTATCATGTTGATTTCTCCACAAAGCAGAATAAGAAATCAAATGCCAGGTTGGTTGGCATGCCATTTTCCTGATCACTAGTGCTTTAGACTCTATTTAATATGTACACATGCATCTATATATATAAATGTGTGAATTAATTAAAGACTAGTTCATATTGACTGGTTATAATCATTAATTAAACCTAATTATTACATAATTTAATTAATCAACCACTTAAATTACATGTATAAAGGGACAAGGGTCGCATTTAAAAAGAATAGTTTTGGACCAATAATCAGCAAATTGCTTGCTGTTCACTCCCTTCTCCACAGGCATATGGTCCCGGCCCAGAAGCTCGTGTTGCAGAATCCCAAAGGCATGCACTACCCCATATATATATATATATATATATATTTATATATGTAGCCAGTTTACCATTTTCATATACATTCACGTTGATTCAATTTACTTTTTGTCAAAGATAACCAGAAAATCGAATGCAGATACAAATGATTTTGCCAGCTATATATATATATATATATACATACTACCATAAATACATACATATATATATATGAATAAAAAAAAAGTAGTTTAATTCTTTTAATTCGTTCTGATTATTTTAATTCAAAAAATTTAATTATCGGAAAATATAATATTTAAATTTTTAATGCAGCAATTATTTATGTTATATATTTAAATTTTCATTATAAGATATCCGGATTACATTGAATTAAAAGAAAAATTAAATTAGAAATCCGCATTTAAAACGACATGGCAACAACACGATGACTATGAATAGACAAAACCGGTGGGCCCCAATTCCTATCCACGTGGAATATTTAATCATAGTATTTTTTACGGTGTGTGTTGTCGAAGAGATATTATGCTTTCTTAGTGGAGACACTGGAGATACGGCGGATGTTCTGGGCGTTTTGACGGCCAACCACGGCGTTGTGGCACTTTAACTCACATGCCTCCACCTGTTTTACTATACAAAAACATAAAATCCTTAATTAGCAATATATATATATTCATATATACTTTCTATCGGTTTATATATATATATATATATATGTATTCATATATATATTGAATACATATACATTCACTGTGAATAATCAATTTAAATAATGCTCTAATTTTGCTTTAAAAAAAGAACGAAAAAAAAACTCTTGATTACTTTTGAACTACGTAACAAGTGGTGCTAATTTTATATTAAGTTGGTGAATCTCAAGAAAATTTATTTGATTTTAATAATTAGCATTATATATGGAATACATAT